CTTTTATAGGCCAAGAACCAGACACCTGACCAGACACAGCTGAAGAGAGTTGTCACTGATAACCTTGACTCTACAAGCAATAGTATCAGATCTCAGGTTAATTTGCAAAAGGCAGGCTGGTGTACTGGTAAGGAAGAGGTTTAGCACCATGTAAACCAGGGTTCGAAACCCAGCAGAGTCAGTTCCTCACATTACCCCCACCTCTACAGGCGCAGCCTCTGGATGCCCTATTTCCTGGTTTAGCAGGGTACTGTTCATGGAAAGACTGAAGAAGATCAGGAGCATGAATATTGTCCACTGGTTCCCACGATCTATCCTCCTCACCATAGCCTTTCCAATGAACCAAGTATTGAAGCTTGTTGCGGAAGATCCTGGAGTCAAGAATTTTTTCCACCTCGTATTCATCTTCACCATCCACGAGGACTGGTGGTGGGGCAGGCAAGGCTCGACCAGGGAAAGTATTTTCATGAAAAGGTTTAAAGCAGTGCCACGTGAAACACCGGATGTATTTTCATGGAATCCGGAAGTTGCAGACGGAAGGTGACTGCATTGATCTGAGCGATTATCTTAAAAGGTCCCATGAACTTTTGACCCAATTTATGAGAAGGAATCCTAAGCTTAAAATTCTTTGTTGACAGCCAAACCTTGTCACCAACATGATAAACTGGGGCCTCCTTTCTGTGCCTATCAGCAGCTCTTTTGTAACATTCCTGAGCCTCCGAAAGAGTCTCCTTCAACAGTTCTTGGGAATCTCGTAAGGCGGTTAGCCGGTCAGTGACTGCAGGAATGGGAGTAGTAGTTGGGAGACTCACTAGAAAGGTTGGATGGTAACCATAATTGGCAAAAAATGGGCTCAGAGAAGTGGAGCAGTGTTGGGCATTGTTATAGGCAAACTCCGCCGTGGGTAGAAAATCCAGCCAGTCATCCTGCAGGTAACTAATATAGCACCGCAAATATTGTTCTAAAGTCTGGTTGGTTCACTCAGTCTGTCCATTACTTTGTGGATGAAAAGCTGAAGACAGATTTACATTAATACCTAGAATAGAACAAAAATATTTCCAAAAATGAGATGTAAACTGCACTCCCCTGTCAGAAATTACTTCATCAAGCACTCCATGCAAGCGAAATATTTCCCGAATAACAAGGTCAGCAGTCTGTTTAGCTGAAGGGAGACCACGAGCTGGTATGAAATGACTCATCTTGGTTAACCGGTCCACAACAACAAGAATGGTAGTGTGTTCCTTAGAGGGAGGTAGTTCCACAATAAAGTACATGGATATAGATCCCCAGGGACGATGAGGAATCGGAAGAGGCTGAAGCAAGCCAACAGGGGATGAGCGAGGAGTCTTATGTCTGGCACATACATCACAAGAGGACACATACTTCTTAACATCCTCATAATATTTAGGCCACCAAAAAGATCGGGTAAGTAGTTCTTGTGTCTTTCGGATTCCTGGATGACCTGCTGGTTTAGAGTCATGGTAGAGGCGTAAAACGTCCAGTCGCACTGATTCTGGAACAAACAGGCGTTGTTGAAAAATCCAAAACCCATTAAGCATGGTCATATGAAGATCACGAGGAGGATCACGAAAAACTGGATCTTTAGAGTAGCCCTTTTTAATGCGAGACATTAGATCAGAAGGAAAGGTAACTCCTAAAAATCTGCTCTCCGGCAAGATGGTGGCCTTGGTTACTGTAGTATGGAGGGGGTCAGCTATCCTAGACAAGGCATCTGCCTTGCCATTTCTGGAACCAGGGCGGTATGAAATAAAAAAATTAAACCTTGAGAAAAATAGGGACCAGCGTGCTTGTCTGGCTGACAGTCTCTTAGCGGATTGAATACATTCCAGATTTTTGTGATCTGTGAGGACAGTAATTGGATGGGTGGCTCCCTCCAAGAGATGTCTCCATTCGGTGAAGGCAGCTTTTATAGCCAAAAGTTCTTTATTCCCTATGTCATAATTTCTTTCTGCTGGTAACATCTGGCGGGAATAGAAGGCACATGGATGTAACAACATCTTAGGTCCAGTCCTTTGAGACAGTATAGCCCCAACAGCTGAATCAGAAGCATCTACCTCTACAGTAAATGGAAATTCTGGCTGTGGATGTACCAAGATAGGGGCAGATGTAAACAGAGTCTTTAATCTGGAAAATGCAGTGTCAGCCTTATTGGACCACTGAAAAGGAGTCCCTTTACGTGTAAGTTCAGTGATCGGTGTAATAACGGCAGAGAAATTCTTAATGAAACGCCTGTAAAAATTGGCAAACCCCACAAATCTCTGTATATCTTTTTCATTCTTGAGGATGGGCCAGTCCAGCACAGCTTTAATTTTACTTGCGTCCATACTTAAACCTTTAGGAGTTATTACATACCCCAGGAACTGAATTTCTGTTTGTTCAAACTCACATTTTTCCAGTTTAATGTATAGGTGGTGGGTACGAAGGCGCTCAAGAACAATGCAGACCTGTTTTCTGTGATTTTCAAGATTATCAGAAAATATCAGGATATCATCCAAATATGCCACAACAAACTGATCCAGGAGATCCCGTAGTACATCATTGATTAGATGCTGAAAAGTTGCAGGGGCATTACAAAGCCCAAATGGCATTACTAGATATTCGTAATGTCCGTACCTGGTTCTGAAAGCTGTTTTCCATTCATCATTTGGTTTTATGCGAACCAGATTATATGCCCCCCGTAGATCAAGCTTCGTAAATATTTTAGCTGAACGAAGTCTCTCCAGAAGTTCAGGAATGAGAGGCAAGGGATAACGGTTTTTAACAGTGATTTTATTAATGTCCCTGTAATCGACACATGGCCGTAGACTGCCATCTTTCTTTTCTACAAAGAATATAGGAGCTCCTGCTGGAGAAGTGGATGGTCGAATAAAGCCTTTGGCAAGATTTTCTTGTATGTATTCACGAAGTGCTTTCAATTCAGGCTCAGAAAGGGAGTATATACGGCCAAATGGGATAGCAGCTCCAGGTAGCAGCTCTATGGGGCAATCATAAGGCCTGTGAGGTGGAAGCTGATCAGCATTCTTCTTATCACAGACATCTGCAAAATCACGATATTGTAGAGGAAGCTTAGTTAAGTTTGTAGCAACCATTTCATTAATTGTGGTAACAGGTGTCGCCTTAGAGGGTTGACAATTCATCAAGCAGGACAAGGTTCTAGTCTTCCAATCAATCTGTGGGTTATGCAGAGCAAGCCAGGGTATACCCAAAATCACTGGAAACTGTGTTGAGGAAATTAGGTGGAAAGATATAGACTCATGGTGATTCACGTCCAGAATCAATTTTAAGGGCACAGTCTCATGTGTAACCGGGCCTGACGTAAGTGGAGAACCGTCTACTGTTTCCATTAACACAGGTGAAGATTTAGGGATAGACTGAATTTTATTTCCTGCTGCAAATTTAATGTCCATAAAGTTTCCGCCTGCTCCGGAATCTATCATAGCTGTAGTTGAAATTTTATTATTACCATATTGCAAAGTGATAGGCACCACCAAATGAGGATGTTGAGTCATCATACCTTCTTCACCCTGAGCCAGAGAAAACAAGGGTTGTGTGACAGAATCCAGTTGGTCTGAAATCTGGGATTGGTGTTGAATCTGTGCACCCTCAGCAGTCATAGCTATTGTTCTTTTAGACTTGTTAGGGCAATTGATGGCATAATGCCCTGTATTACCACAATACAGGCATAAATTGTGAGTGCGTCGCCACTGTTTTTCTTCATTGGATAATGGCCCTCTTATTAGATCTACCTGCATAGCCTCAGGTTCAGAGTCTGTAGGTGTTTGTGGGGTCAGAGTAGAAATTCTTGAATAGAAAGTAGGAGTAGCACTTGGT